ACATGAGGTGGAACGAAATTATGTACTCAAGTTCCACCCAAAAATAACAAAAATATAAAGTGTTAAAAGAAACAGCATATAAGGATCTAAGATATACTCTAAACACTAATAATGTAAAATAATACAGTGTAACAACAGCAGCCTGAACATGAGTCTGTGGTGAGCAGATGGGTACGAATGAATACAGCAGCATGAGATAATCAGCAGCATGGATAATCAGCAGCACAGATAAGTCACTTATCAAAACTTAAAGTGGATTTTCAGTGATTTTTTTTGGACCTGCATCATGATTGCAGTTCACAAACTGTTGTCAACAGTGACTACAGTAAGATACTAGCTACTGAGTTCATATTACATGTCTGTACTGTATGTAACATGTCTTTATGTATGACATAAACCCACAAATGATTTATTTCAAAATCAAATCTACTGGTCACCTTTCACATCAGTCTGTTGTCGTATGAATAGTTATTCAATGAAAAGTGTTAAAAAAAGAAGTTGTGACTTTAAAATTTAATCTATTTAAATGTTTTTATTTGTTTATTTTCTGAATAGTCACATCATTAATGGTACAAGGTTTCTGCTCAAGAGCACTGACAGCATCGTGCTGTGTTCTCATGTTGCTTACAGGGGACAAAGCAGTTAACAAGTCATTATAAAAGTAATTCTCCTACAAGTTTCCCTCAAGAACGTTTAGATAATACATTATATTTTCTAACATTACTTCATGCTGATTGTCCAGACTTGACAAATCGACTGGATCTGTAGTTGCTTTTGTCCCAGTTGAGCATCTTGTATTCTCTTCTTCTGTTCTTTTACTGTTATCGTGTGATTGTGCTAAAGGAACAGTGCATGTTCTTTTTGTTTATAACAGAAAACAATGACTGATAAAATTGTCTGTTTCTATGGTTCTTGCCCTTTTGTGCAATTTTATTCTATTTTATTTTGAAGAAGTGCTAAAAGTCTAAATGATGAATCTTTAAATGCCTTGAGGAGATTTGCTTTTAATTTTATAAAACATAAGGAATTTAAGGACAAATTTACAAACGCCAAACACAAAAGACATTTTTGTGCTCTCATCTACACACACTAGCAGACAAACTCACTAAACACAGGAGGCTTTTATTCTCCTGGACACAAACATTATAAGATCGCTGCCGTTTCAGGCGTGTAAAATGAAATTTGAGGGAACATTGTTTTGATGGAAGCAGCCTGGGGTCAGCTGTGGCTCAGGCTCGTTTTGTCTTGGCAGAAGGTGGAAGAGAAACAAGCGCTGGGAGAAGCAGCAGCTACAGTAAGAGATCCCTGATGACAGGCCGTACATAATTGATTGTTTATCTGTCTGCAACCTGAGCAGCAGCAGCAGTCGGCGAGGTGCTGCCTCCTTCACACCAGCACATCCACACACAGGAGGGGTTTGGTCTGCCATTAAACTGGGGGTCGTTTACACCGAGTGCAGGCATGCAATAAACCCACATTTCTAAATAAACCACACACACATGTAATATACACAAAGTCCGATTGTGGTGCATCTCTGGTTGGCGTTTGCAGCTCTGACAGAGGTGACCTTGAAAAAAAAAAGAATCTTAATTTGCTTTTCTCTCCCCTGGGCTGTTTTATTACTGTTTTTTTTTTTTTTTATGGCCACAAGCAGGCTTCAGCTCTGCCCCCCCTCCCCCCCAACAGATTTGTGTGCTTGTGTGTGTAGGAAAGAGCAGACCCCACTATCCTGACTGCCCTTCAATCCATCTCACAGACTCGTGCACGCATGCATCAAATCCTCGATGGAGGAGCTCATCACAATGTCACTTTCAATTTGGATGAGCCCACGGTGTGTTCAGGGGGTGTAATGGGTTGGATGATGGCAGGGAAATGGATGACGCGACTCAGGTAAATGAAACAAGCGCTCACGTTTCTGATGCCCGCGCGCTCCAGATGCCATCGTTCAGTCATCAGTCTCGTTCTTCAGAGCGGAGCAGATTAAAAGGCAAAAAGCTCAAACCTGTGACCGAACAGGTGGCACATCAAAACATTGTTTCTGTGTGACTGACAAACCGTTCGGTTTTGATTTCTGGACAAAACAAGTTGGGAAAAAAAAAAAAAAAAAAGAAGTCCCCTGCTGGGTTTGATGTGTCCCCTCCCCCTAACCAAAACATTTCTCTCCTCCAAATGTGCATAAATTAATTTAAGTTAGTCTTTGTCAAGAGTACTAACTTTTCTGAAAGAATTAATCAGCTGCTTGTCCTTTTAGCAGCTGCTAAATGTTGTCAGCTCAATAAAAAATGAATATTAAGAGAAAAAAATGTGTTTCAAGCCAACCTCCTGCTGGAATCTCAGAAGCAGGCTTTTAACACATGCAAACAGAGCACATCCATCCAAAACTATTGGGTGGCTTGAAACACAGCAGTTACCTATGGGACATATCTGGTTGGCAGGCCGTAGACTGAGGAAGTCCTCTGGATGGGGGACGAAACGTTTCTCACTTAGAGAAACTGGTCCAGATGACACGATTGAACCTTTTTTGTTGTTATCTACCTGGATGACTGAGATTACAACACTTTTTCGTAACCATTTTGGCCTTGGTTGTCCTCGGGCTGTTTCTGTGAGTAGCAAGTTGGCCATCTGGCCTATAACACTGGATTGTTGTACATGATGATTTATTGTTTTAGATGGGTGTGTTTTGCATGTGTTAAGGTACTTTTGAGATTCCAACAGGAGGTTGGCTTGAACCACAGAAGTGAAGCCTACTTATGGGACAGATCTGGTTGGCAGGCCGTAGACTGATTAAGTCCTCTGGATGGAGGACGAAACAATTCTCACTTAAAGAAACCAGTCCAGTTGACATGATTTAACCTTTTTTGTTGGCTTATGATGTTTTTTTTTTTGTTTTTTGTTTTTGTGCACGATTGCAAGCTTGTTTTTGTTTATTACATTAGCAAAGTATTTCAAGAACTAGTAAATGAATTTTGATAAAACGCTCAGCAAATAATTACTGGGTGTTGATCAATACAACTGATTTTCTTTTGAGGTCAGACATATTTAACGTAGCTGCCAAAACTAGTTGAACTAACGGAACAAAAATGCTCAAATCAGCAGAGCAAAAGTTTGATGTGGTAGTAGCTGAGAGTCATTCTTAACATACACTCTAAGCACTAAAGGCTGAAGATTGTGTCTTGCTGATGTGGGTACATGCCAAAAATAGTGTATTTTTCTACTCACACCCCCTGCTGAGACCCATCCTGTGCATTGGCCCCACTCAGGAGGACTAGCTTCTTACTGTGTATGGGTGAGCATCGTGTGATTGGTCTGAACTTTGTGGGTGTGTTTGTTTATGAAAAGCTACTCAGAAAACTGATCTTTGAGATCAGTGTCTGCTGAGGAACTGCTGGCCAAGGCTGTTAGAAGATACAAATGTACATTTATTATAACCATTACAACAAAAAGTATAAAGATAGCTCAGTAAAACATAAAGATGGTAAAATAACTTGTTGAAGGAAACTGGATAATTTGTGTGCACTCAGACGACAGCACAGAGACACACTTTTCGTGGCTGTGATGACCAAGAGAGAGCGCACCTTCCTCAGGTAGCTGTGGCACTGAGGACCAGGAGAGAGCGATCCTCTGTCAGGCAGCATAGAGCCACCACCCTGCACCATCTGTCGGAAACAATGGTGTCTCTTCCTGACAATTTAACAAAATAGTGCATGTCCTCAAGTTAACAGCAGAAATACAAGATCAACCTCCTCTAACTCCTTTATCATCGACTGAAAATAAACGCTGTCTGTGTTGATTTTGAATGTGTCTGACGTGAAATGACTTTATCAGGAGTTCTCCCCTGTGGTCTCTCTTTGAATATGACTAGTCCATGTGAAAAAAAAAAATCTAATCAAAAGAAAACGAAAAAAAATCAATTTTCTAAAGAAAAAAATCAAATCACAGAGAGCCGATGTCTTAATGCCCTGTAAAGTTTACACATCTTGTAAGAACTTGTATTGTTGCATGCTACTGGCAAGAAATATGCATTCCTTCAGGAAATGCTAGGCTTTTATTTATAACTGAAAACATTTATTTAATATGAACTGAAAATATAATTTGTGCTGTTCTGAACCTCTTATTTTTGTATGTAGTACATTTTATACAGTGCTTATTGTTACTTGTGGTGAATTGTGTTATTAATGAATAAACTGAACAGAGTCAAACATTGTTCTTCTGTGTTTTAGTGTATTGTGTCTACTCAAGTGCCCTTAAGTTTTCTGCAAAGAAAAGATTTATTGGCCACATGGAAACAAGTGGAACACATTTTCATGGTCTGTGGTCATTAGTCAACCTTGTCAGTGGTCTATATCACAGCGAATAAATAAATCCACAGTGAAGGGGGATTAGAAGCTCTGGTTTTTGGAGGACATCTTGCTGCTTATATGGACCTTACAGAAACATCTGGAATGTTTTCACACAAACAGTGAAAAAATGTATTGAATCTGAACTAAAGGTCAGTTGAATAAAGTGGACATCAGACAAATATATAGTATGTTGGCATTTCATTATTACAAAGTATAAATTTGCAAACTAAGCCATTTAGTTTTGGTTATTAAGGTGCTCAAACTTTCTTTCTTTGCTATGCAGGCTCAACTGTGACAGCGTAAGCAACTGAGAGCATTTTATTTGACTTATCCAGACAAGAGACAGAGAACTGACTCATTCCAGACTCATATCTTAGACTCACAGCTGTCGAACTGTCGAGGCATTTAGACTGAATGGTTATTAAAATGAATTACCAGCTTGCTGCATTCATTCCTAACGCTTGCTGCTCTTTAATCAAGGATTACTCTCTCTCTTGCCGTTGTTGTTTGCAGATGTCAGGATGATGCCTGAACTGATTATTGCTGCATTTTCTTGCTCTCTTATCAGATGCAGAAGATAAAGATGTTAAGTGTAATAAATTAGCATGGATTACAGAGATATTGCAGAGATTGACCTCTGTCATGTTTTTCCATTTTTAGAGCATGACGAGTGCCTCAGTGGACTGCACAACTGCAATGAGAACGCTTTGTGCTTCAACATGGTGGGAGGCCACAGCTGCTCCTGTAAGCCGGGCTACACAGGCAATGGAACGGTCTGTAAAGGTGGGTCGCTGCTTTCATCGTCCTTGACTTTTGACTAAATCCTTCTTTGCATAAAGCTTTCCATTATAAAATGTTTTTTTGGCTATTAGTTTTGTACCACCTTAAGCTATACTAGGAAACAAAATGTGTGTTCTGCAATGTGGATGCTTTGACACTTGAAAACCAAGGAGAGGGCATTTTCTGTGAAAGCATAGTGTGCACGCTGACAGATGAATGACTTTGTTGAAGAAGCTGAAATGACGTTAAAATCAAAAGAAACAGAACAACAGTGAAAAGAAGCTCAACACCAACTAAACACCAAAAGTAGCAAAATACTACCTAAAAGATAAAAGTAGCAAAATATTAGAGAAAAGAAGCAAAGCATGCACTATAAGCTAAATGTTGCAAAAGGTAAGCTAAAACTAAAAATAATACAAAACTAGCTAATAATATAAAGGATTCAAGGATTCAAGTTCCTTTATTGTCATTCACATCACATGTGGTACATGAGGTGGAACGAAATTGTGAACACAGGGTTCCAGTTACATCCAACAATAGCAAAAATATAAAGTGTAAAAAGAAACAGTAAATAAGGATCTAGGATATCATTCATTCAACCTTTATTTATACCGGTTAGTCCCATTGAGCCTCAGGGACTCATTTACAAGTGAGACCTGTTTTTAACAAAGAGTGATCATGGTGCACTAAAATTCATAACTGGCTGTAACTACCATACCCACCATTGCTCCCAGTATTCACTGGTTAACTGGTCATCATTAACCTCACACAGACTCTCTCACTGGCACATTTTCGTATTTAAATCACTTCTTGGTCTGCTGCCTTCATACATCTCCTCCTACCTGTCACTGTGTGAGTGCAGCTACAGCGTGCGCTCTCAGGACATTATTACCTGCAGTGTTCCCTCAGTGCGGACTGAACTTGGCAAAAGAGCCTTCTCCTACTCTGCTCCTGTTTCATGGAATATCTTGCAAATGATCTCAAGCTCTCAATCTCGACCTCTCTAAGTGGCTTCAAACATCTGTTAAGTTCATGGGACATACCAATGCAGAAAAGCTCCTGTTTTTAGTTTTCTACACTGCCTTATAATCTAGCTGCTTTTTTTTGGCTACTTTTTGACTGTCCTTTTGGCTGCCATTTTATTTTAATTAAAAATAAAATGAAATAAATAAGTATATATATATATATATATATATATATATATATATATATATATATATATATATATATATATATATATATATATATATGTGTGTGTGTGTGTGTGTGTGTGTGTGTGTGTGTATGCCTCTTATAATTGTCAATTGTTTTCTTTGTTGTCCATTGTTGTCATCACTCTTTGTTAAAATGAGGTCTCTCTTGTAAATGAGTCCCCGAGGCTCAATGGGGTTAACCGGTATAAATAAAGGTTGAATGAATGAAAAAGCAGTAGACAATCATAAAAAGCATACAAAAACATGAGCTAAGATAACCAAGATATAAACTAAGATATACTCTAAACATACGCCCACTGGTACACTAACAAAATCTAAGATATATGTCAGTCACTAATAGTGCAGAACAATACACCAAACAACAGCAGCACAATTCTCATAGGTTCTGTTCAGCTATAATTTACACACTTAATGTGAGCACTAACATAAACTAAACTATCATAAACTAAACTAACATAAACTGGGATTTATTCAAAGCCTGCAACTAAAAAACAGAAACAAGGCGTCAAAAGTGAAAAAGAAATAAATCTCCAGCAGCATGGTCCTATAGACAGAGTGGTTCTGATGACAGTGAGGTTATTTTAGCAACATGGTCCAGTTAGCACCATGATACTGTTAACAGTGAGGTTCTGTTAGCAGCGTAGTCTTGTTAGCAGCATTAGCAGGTCTAGTTAGCAGGTCCCTTCAGCAGCTTGATGGTAATAATGACCGCAGCAGCTGTCCCCCCAGACTGCCCTCCAGAACCACTCCAGTCCGGCAGAAGGAGAACATCCAAGTTTCCCTGCTGGACCGAATGGGTTCATAGAGTTCAGTCCGTGCATGCACATGGAGGATCATAGAGACAGCCACCATGACAGGTCTGAGCCTGAGGCTGGAAGGGCTGAACTAAAGTGTCTAAAGGTTAGCTAGAAGCTAAGAGAAGTTAAAACTAGTTAAAAACTACTCATAGGAGATTGGTAGCTTCGAACTAAAAGTAGCGCCATAAGATAAAAATCGAACGTGTGCTGAAGCAGCTTTTTAAAGAGAAAAATGTTTTTGAAGAAAATGAAAAGATCTTACAGGATTTCTCAGAAGATATAGCGTATTTTATTTCTTTATTTATTCATTTATTTTGGTAAATAAGGTGGACTATTTTGAAAAGTTTAAAGTGTAAAGTTGCAAAAAAGCAAAAGCTCAGAGGGGGGAGGTTGGAAGATGTGGTGTGTGTTGTGATTGGCAGATGTGCACAGAAAAGGAGGGAGGCTTGACTCGAGAACTATCTTCTACAAATGGTAATCATTGTATATCTGGCAGCAGAGATGCCAGGTCACTTGGTGGTACTGTGATTTGTGGCTTCCAGTGAGATGGGTGTGCACACAGACTGTTCAGTCTTGAGCATTAAAACAGCTACATCCAAAACAGTGAACATTCAACCTTTGTTTGGACATAGGATGAAGTCGGTTTGCTCCTACATGTTGAAAAGGATGAGTGCACAAGCAGCCCCTGACTATACACCACTGTTACTGGTGTCCATCTCCTTGCATAAGCACAGGAAAACTACAGCTTTCCAAAGTGTGCATGCATGATTTAACACTTCTGTGGGGGTTCTCCAAAAACCTCCACTCTGAGATCTGATTTAAAAAAAAACTTTGATTTTAGAGGAAACGAGCACCGCTCCTGTGTGAACAAACCACTGACCCACAGCAAAACAGCTACGGTTTCATTCAAAATTTTATAAAATGTTAACAGAGCCTTATATTTGGACATCATTTGCGCTCAGTAGTGCTAGAATTATGCTGTTACTTTATTGAAGAGCATAGCAAGCAAGAGAGTTAAAGCTAGCTCACACCTAGCAATAAAGGCTTGACTAGCAGTTTCAGTGTTAAGTGCTTCCACTTGTCTGCATTTCAGGCAGATAAAGGAAGTGTAGTCTAAAGTCTGATTTATGTTCTGCAACACTCCAAGTTGTTTGTTCTCATTGTTGACGTTGCATAACAACAGTTACGTCTTATTGTTCTTGCACCCCCTCTGACAAACCATTCTGAGCACAAGGTGCTGGCAGAACGTTGTCTTGCAGTGATATATGCCAAATATTATGTAATTGTTCAGAACTTTGTGGACTTGTTAACAGACATCTTTACAACTCTTCCAGCAAAACTTACAAAGGCAGTCAAATAAATCATATAAAGAGAGTAAAAAATAAAAAAATAACTCAGGGAAGGAGATAGCACAATTATTTTGTGCACAAAGGGCAGCGACAAAGGCAGCCCTCCTTGTCTGTGCTGTCCGCAATGGAAAAAGCTTTGACCCAGTAACGCCTGTCACAACCAGTGGCAGTCATTTTGTGACAAATTTACAACTAAGCTCATCTCCTCAATTAACAACCAGTGGTGGGGAAATTACTCAAACACTGTACTTAAGTAAAAGTGCAAATAAACAGACAAAAATGTACTGTAGTAAAAGTAGAAGTACCACATTAACATTTTTACTTAAGTAAAAGTAAATAAGTACTTGCTTGTAAAAATACTTAAAGTGTTAAAAGGAAAAGTACTTTGTATTACCTAATGCAATGGTCTACAATATCATTAAGTGTGCCTACCGTATGTATGCTTTCTGTAATACATTAATAGTGTTGTGTCATTTTATTGAACAATGCTGCAGATAATACATGTTTTTACTCTGTGACTGTCATGTTCGGCCATCAGGTGTGTTTGAACCCACGTGCAGGAGGATGACGAGGACGCTCGAGGAATAATAAAAAAATGTTTATTAAACAAAAACAAAATGCTGACAGTGCAGCTACTCACAGACTAATCAGATGGACGGAACAGAAGGCTGAACACAACACCATAGAAGGACAATTCCGAGACAAAGACAAGACGCAAAGGAACTGAATATATACACAGACGCTGATTGGGACAACGACAGACACCTGCAGTAATTAACATTAGACACTGGTGAGACAGGGGCTGAACTCAAGGAGGAAAAACCAAGCTGAAAAGGAAACAGACAGAGACGGGACAAAAACCCTAAAACCCTACAGTATCCCCCACTCAAGGGATGGTTCCTGACATCCCAAAGACAAGCTACATCCAACTTGGGTGGGAGGCGGGACAAAACAGGACGAGTAGACACAGGACCAAAAGAACAAAAAAACGGCAGGAATAAACCCTGGGAAACACAAAACACAAAGACCCCGGACCTCGTCCCAGAGTCAAGGTGGGCGGTCAGGAGACCATCCAGGGCAGGATCAGTACTCAGCAGGGTGACCAGGTGACCGTCCTTGATGAGGCAAGAGATCGGGGTGTGGCCAAGAAACCATCCACCCTCAGGCCAGGGTTCCAGTGGGTGACCAGGGGACCGTCTCTTCCCGGGAAGTAGAGGAGTCCATCTCTGCCTGCCTGGACTCAGGTAGATGAGGACCTCCAGAGCCAAACCAGGGGTGAGGACTTCTGCAGGCGGGTCGGGAACGAAGGTCACATGCGAGCCGGGGACGAAAGTCACAGGCGAGCCAGGAGTGAGGACCTCCAGAGGCGAGCAAAGAGCGAGGACCTCCAGAGACGAGCCAGGGGCGAGGACCTCCAGAGACGAGCCAGGAGCGAGGACCTACAGAGACGAGCCAAGAGCGAGGACCTCCAGAGATGAGCCAAAAGCGAGGACCTCCAGAGATGAGCTAGGAGCGAGGACCTCAGCCGACGAGCTAGGAACGAGGACCTCCAGAGACGAGCCAGGAGCGTGGACCTCAGCCGACGAGCCAGGAGCGAGGACCTCAGCCGACGATCCAGGATCTTCTGCGATAGAGTGGATCTC